GTCTTCAATCCTCGCTTCACGTTTCCATGCATGGTATTGGTGTAGATGTAGGCCTCGGCGTAAAGGCCTCATCGGTCCATGAGCCGGTAAAACATGGCCGGAATATCAGCCATGTCCGTCTGCGTCGTCCGCCTTGTCGGTGTCGAACGTCCTATGGTGTCATTGTAGTCGTACTTGCACGGTTGACGTAGCTCGGATCGTCTCGTACTTTTTCGGCAGTATCGCTGTGGTACTTGATCACGTGGAGTTGTTGAAGTGGTTGTTGATGAAGACGTGCGCTTGGCGCTGCTTGCTTGCATCTTCCTTGTACGTAGATGCGTAGCCTGTACGTGCATGTACATATACATGCCACATCACGGTGCCGCACTCTTGGTCTCACGCACAGTCTCCTTGCTTGTACGTACGTGGCCTGTACGTGCATGCGTGCGCACATACATATAGGCTTTGTTTGTTGTAGTATTTGCCTCTTCAGGTCCCCGTCCTAGCGGCCGCATTCGGATCTCGGCCATCCGGCTCCACGGCGCCGGCGCGTCTGACACCGGCAAGTCGAAAACCGCTGGCGATGCGTGGTACACCGACAAGTCAAAAGACCGCCGGCGATGATTCTCGCAGTCCGGCGCCGTCTCGATCATTTGGCTGCCGCGTCATTCTCTTCTCGGCCGGAACCGTGACACCGGCCAACATGCATGCTGATGTGCAAGATTGACAAAACGATAACTAGATTAGTTTCTTACCCATGGAGAACGACGTGCACGTCATCTCCTCTTGCTGGTGGGGACGTGCGGCCTTGTGACGCGCTTCCTGCTGGCTCCCACAAACAGGAGCCTGGCGGCGCTATGCGAATTGTGGATGGGAATTGTGATTAGCCCTTTCGTGAAGCCCTGGGGTTCCTTTATATAGGCAGCCGTTAGGGTAGCCATAGTTGGCCATGCTGCCTGCCTGCCTCGCTTTCCCCGCCTCTCTCTCGTCTCTGCGGCCTCCTCCATGCACCGCCGTCGGCCTCGAGCGCGGCAGCCGGCTTCGGGCGACCGGATCTAGCGTCCCGTTGCCTCTTCCCGGCGCCTCCTGTCCTCCACCTCCACGCCCCAGCACCGCTGGCCCTGCTCCATCCCCCGTGCGCCCGCACTTAGCTCCTCCCTCTCGGATCTCGCGCTCGCGCTCGCGAAGTCGCGAACCTCCGCAAATCCTCCATGGCGGCGTCAAGCAGTGGCGGCTGGTTTCGAGTGCAGCAGCGTCGAGCGCCTCCTCCACGCCCTCAACCCCCGCGCGGCCTTGTCTTGTTGCGGCTTGTCGGGTGCGAGCGCGCCGTCGGCCGCCGCCGCGCGGCTCACGCAGGCGCAGCTGCCCCTACCTGCCCTTCCACACCTCTCTCTCTCAGTGGGCCTTGGGCTGGCACGGCCCGTTAGCCTTGGCGTGCTTCTCGGGCCGGCCCGGCACGGAAATCGGCCCATAGGGCCATGCCTGGGCCGAAGGCCAGGCCCGTGGCCCTATGAGGCACGGCCCGGGGGGCCCGGCGTGCCGTGCTGGCCCGCCCCCTATCGGGCCGTGCTTTCACAGGCCCGTGCCGTGCCGGGCCGGGCCGGCCCGTTGGCATCTATAAGGGTAGCAGCCAGGTTCCTGGGCCGCACGCACGCGCCGCCAGAAACTTGTCGGTGAGCTCGAGATACCCGGAGCCGCCTCGTTCGTACGCAAGGTGAAGCCGCGTGATTATCCACTGGAGGAGTTATCTTCACATGATGATCCTTCTAAAAGGCTTCGTGTTTGCGAAACAATCCAACTCAGGCCCAAACATTCACCGGGCCGGGCTGGTCGATGGACAGGATCGGTTCTGTATACCGCTCCGCTTAGAAGCCGTATAATACGTACATGATCCGGATTCGACTCCTCCATGCACAGACGCCGTATGCTGTGGCTGCCTGGTGAATTCTGGCCTCTTCAGATAAGATCCAATATGTATCCTTGACAAATATTTATACACGAACACTATGCATTGACGTACATGCAAGTTCATGTGAATATACAAGCGCATCTGCACGAGCTCATATCGTGTACAAGCCTAGACAATTTGCTAGCTTATATATTTTGTTCTCATACATAATCAGCACACGTGAACATACATGCACATATATATGCTTGTTGTTGTTTATTTATCTTCTCTTCCAGTACGAAATATTTCTTGATAGCACATATTAATATATACGCACATCCGAGAAGAATTCAGTACAAAATCTCGTCAAACAGTCCCATAGACAAATGGCCCTTTATATAGATGTACTCCCTCGGTCCCAAATTATAAGTTATTATAACTTTTTGGAGAATTAAAGCATCTTAAGTTTGACCAAATTTATATAATAAGATAATAGCATTTATGACACCAAATAAGTATAATTATATTTTTATTTTTATAGTATATCTATTTGATTTTATAAATCTTTGTAATTTGGAATGACTTATAATTTGAAATAGAGAGAGACTGTTATAAATAAATTTTGTTTTTTAGCAAAAGTAAATAAATTTTGTAGCAGGCCCAATTTATAACCTCATTCGGCCCAGTTCTGCTGTGAAGTACGGGCCGAGCCTAGTTCTGATGCGCCGAGGCCCATCAAGTATATATGAATAGGAAACTAGTACACCTATGCACAGTTGTTTCACTCAAAAGAAAAGAAAAGAACTTAATGTAGGTCCTATCGGCTGTAAACTGGATTTGCTTCCTTCTTATATGACCCTTTTATTTAAAAAAAGAAAAGAAAAGAAAGGAAACTATGCGTAGTTTTTTTTAGCAAAAGAAACTATGCGTAGTTGTGCCGCATGCATGGGATCCATCTGTGTCTTCAGTCTGTTCGTTTCGGCTGAAACGATCGTGGATTATAAGCCAGAAGTACTGCTGGCTGGTTTAGTGTGAGAGAAAAATACTGTTTCAGCTTATAATCCACGATCGTATATGATTGTATAAGCCGAAACAAACAGGCTGCTTGTCTTCCGCTTTGCGCCTAGGCTCGACCGGAGTTCGTGCATCAGACCCTCAGTTTTTGCATCAATCTGTCTTCCTCCCTGGGTTCGTCAACGACGCAGTTTATATATGCTGCATGAGCTGATGATGATAAGGCCTTGTTTAGTTGACGAATTTTTTTGAGAAATGATACTGTAGCACTTTCGTTGTTATTTGGCAATTAGTGTCCAATCATAATCTAATTAGACTTAAAAGATTCGTCTCGTGAATTTCGTCTAAACTGTGTAATTAGTTTTATTTTTTATTTATATTTAATGCTTCATGCATGCGTCCAAAGATTCGATGTGACGAGGAATCTTAAAAAATTTTGTAAAATTTTAGGAACTAAACACAGGCACCAAATAGAAAATGCCGCGTAGTCCTCAGGAAATTAGACATCCATCATGTGATGTGATACTGGTGCAGCACAGCACTGGCACATGTTCACTGCAACGAGGCAACGAACTAGCAAAACACTGCTACAGATCAAGCATAGTCGTTCGTTCCAGACTCCAGAGATAAAGATCTGCTGTAAATAATAAAAACACTTCAGTTCCGTTGTCTAAAGATGAGTTTTTATTAGACCAGTTGACTGTACAAAGAAAGTTATTTCTCAAGGGCTGCGTTTGAGGGGCCAATACAACCTGAACTTCATCTAAAATTCGTTATGAGTTGATCTTGTGGCAAATCTCTCTCTATTCGCTCCAGTGGCCTAGGAACTATGAAGGAGAGGAATGAAAGGTGCTTTCGCCAAGCCTCCCTCCATGATTGTGCAAATCCTCACGCATATCAGGCACATGGCAGACCAGTGGATAGGCGTCGGGGCGGCAAAGGTTGTCTTGTGCGTGATTAATCGCCTTGTACTAAGTCCGTTAGGAGGGGATATGCTCATTGTACAAAATTTTTCTAGTCACCTGTTTATTAGCAACTCCCATAATTTTTTTTCTAGGCACGTGACCATAGTTTTTGTACCTCAGATGTTTTTTATTAGAATATATACTTTTTTGAAAAAAAATTGTTATAAATTTTTTTATGTTTTTTAAATATTCTTAATCGATTTATCCCCTAGTCTTATTTATCTCCTCTGATTGATGTGACGCCACATCACAAAACCATCCAAGGTACAAAAACAAAAGGTTTTAAAAGTTAAAAGGTATTAAAAAATTTAGTTTGTAGTTTAAAGAGCAAAGTCAGACAAGTACGACAGTCGAGGGGAACTAGAATCTGCTTCGTTTGTAGCCAAAGATTTGGCAACGAAAAGTTAGGCAAAAAAAATTATCATATATTTGAAGTTAAATGTGAGAAATTGTTAGTTTTGTAGTAAACTAAATGATAGCTAAAATTATGACTTATTAAATTTTTGACTTGACATGTTTTGGAAGCCAACCAAATACACTCTTAGACCCTTTTTCTTTTTTGAGAAACTCTTAGACTTTTTCTAAAGAGCCTTTTCCTCCTGTATTTGTCTTGTTCACTTTTATAAGCCGTATTTTTTCAGTCAATAAATAATATTTTTCTCTTACAACAAATCAGGTAACAGTACTTTCAGTCATAGCTTATCAACCCAGCAATTAAAGGCCGAGCCCAATCACTGTCCAGCCCGAAGGCGAAATACGCCCAATCGTCTAAATCCCTGAAGGATGGATCGTCTTTTGCCAGATAACCCCACGATTTATATATAAATCCCATAATGGCTCCTAAATCCTCGCTGTTATCTTTTCTCTCTCTTCTCTTCTGTATTCCCTTCTCTTTACTTGCCCTATACATCTCAAACTCGAATCGTGTATGTATGTATGTATAATAATGGCTCCTAAATCCTTCGGCGGGCACCAAACCCCCAATCATTGATCCCTCGCGGCTGGGCTGATTCCTCCCCGTACAATTTTCGCCGGTCCTGTCTCCGTGAAGACTGATTCCGTTGTTTTCTTGCCCAATTCGGGCAGGATTTTGGTCTTCCTCCTCGCAGCTTGGGGGCGGTTTCGCTCCGGTTCTTGCGCTTCGGCTCCAGGCCATGGAGCAGCGGAGATGGCTCGCGGCAGCCGTTTTGATGTGCCTGCTTGTGCTTTGCTCCGGGAGAGGTAGGTTGTTGGCCCTTCTTTGGTCCTCCAGTTTTTCGCCCTCGAAAAGGAAAAGAAAAATCTGTCTTTTGATTTTGTTTCCCCTACCGTTCCCGAGAATGTTTCAAGCGGACTCTGCCTGCCGGTTATTTTTACCCAGTCTGCGTGGGGAATGTGGGCGATCAGTGATGTATTTAGCTTAGGGTATTGTTTAGCGCTAGACGATTAGCAGTACTTTATGCCTTGAACATCCATGCTGTTTGTGAAACGGAAGGTTCTGTCTCTTGAAGATGCTCGTGCATACAGTGACGAAGCCAGGAAAAAATTTAGGAGAGGCTGAAACAAAAGAATAGATGCTCGTGCATGGCCTCCTACCTAATACATATACAGGGGCTCCATGCGCAGGATGTAGGGGGGCTAGAGCCCCCCTAGCCCCACCGCTGGCTTCGTGCCTGCGTGCATACATACACAATGTGTCGGCAATTGGCATAACCTCCAAGAATTCGCAGTCAAACTAGTCTGCTTCCTTCTTGTCGTGTATTAAGTATTGCGCATTTCATTGTATTCTCATTTTACCCATGCCTTTTCGATTCAGAACTCAAGACCAAACATGCGCCCATATATGACCCAGCGCTTGCCCGGACACTTGCTGAATATACTTCTGCTGTGAGTTCATCTGACCTTCTTGATGCTGTCATCTTCCACATCCACGTTGGATTATGTTATTGGTGAATACCTCCGTTTCTAGTGTGCATTCCTTGTGGAGTTGAACTTGGTGCTTTTGTGAAGGTCTATACTGCTGACCTGACCCAACTGTTTACATGGACGTGTGAAAGATGTTGTGACTTAACAGAGGTATTTTATATTTGTCATTATCGTAAAACATTCTACGATTTTACCAATGTTTTTCAAATTCACATTTGGCTTGGTGTGAAATCTTCATTAAATTTATTTGGTGACTCAGGGGTTCGAGGTGATAGAGCTGATTGTTGATGTGAAAAATTGCTTACAGGTTACTACTTCTGCCAGTGCACCTGAATCGTTTTATTTTTACCTAGTAATAGGCTTTTGCTTATATTGATGGTTGTGTTTATGATGAGTCAGGCATATGTTGGATTTGCTAGAGACATGAATGCAGTTATAGTTGTGTTCAGGGGCACTCAAGAAAACAGGTAAAAATTCTGATGCATATGCTGGATTGTGTCCACGAAGTTATTATATCTCTTACCACTTTTTCTTACTTTTAAAATGGTGCCCTTGAAATTCTGGTTCTTTGGAAAAGTTTGCTATCCAATCTTCTGGATGCTATAGGTGCTAAAATGTGTGGCATTTTAAATTAACAATCAAGCCAGGCAAATATAGATATGAAAGTATATGCAATTTATTCTTCTGCAAAAGTTTTATTACTCTTATTTTTCAGCATTCAGAACTGGATAGAAGACTTATTCTGGAAACAACTTGATCTCGACTACCCAGGCATGCCTGAAGCAAAGGTGAGCATGGTCTTTGTAATTATGATGAAACTCCACTCATGCAGATTGCGGACACTATAAATGTTGGTCTTCTACCTTATAGGTTCATAGTGGATTTTATTCTGCTTACCATAACACAACAATGCGTGACGGAGTTGTCAGAGGTATTAAAAGTACTAGGGAACTGTATGGTGATATTCCCATCACGGTCACAGGACATTCCATGGGAGGAGCTATGGCTTCATTTTGCGCCCTTGATCTTGTTGTGAGTAACAAAATTTGCCATGGAAATCTTTTTTTCTATGCTTAGAAGTTGGCCACATCGAATGAGGGAGGATGTTTTTCTTTCTCAACTTTAGTACTTCTTCTTATCACAAATACAAGTCCATCTAGGTTTGTCCCTTCCACTCAAAAAAAAAAAAAATCTAGGTTTGTCCCAAGTCAAACTTTTCTGACAATGACCATCAATATCTAAAAATTTATATTAATTGGCCATTACTAGATTCGTTATGAAAACTACATTATAATACACACACAGGTATTGCTAGCTAAAGTTAAAAATGTTTACAGTGAATAGAACCTAGATTGAACTTATGTTTTTTTATCAAAGGAGTTCCTATTCTTCTGGTATTGGTTATGACTGTTCAATATTACATTACCTTGCATAGTTTGCATTCTGTCTGATATATTATATGAGAAAACAATGGTAGCCACTTAATTTCAAAATTATTAGATCAAGCACTTTTACATTTTATGGGATGACTATTGCTAATATTTCTTGAGAATCCTACCAGTACCAATACCAGATAAAATTAAAAACATTGGTCTGAGCATAGATCTTATCTTTTGGCAAACTTCCTATCCTCAGACTAAAGATGTACGTAACTATATGTTCTCCCAGATGGTTTTACACATTCTGTATATGTGATGCGATACCTTTTCAGCATGGACATAAATGTTGCCTCGAGCATATGAAGTACATGCTATTGATTTTTGGTGGATTAAAGGCTTTTTTTTTTCCTTCGTCACATTTCATTTTATGCCCTATGAAAACCCAAATTTCTGTGTTCTTGTAGGTTAATCTTGGGTTCAAGGATGTGACACTCATGACATTTGGGCAACCTCGGATTGGCAATGCTATATTTGCTTCTAATTTCAAAAGATATTTGCCGAATGCAATTCGAGTGACCAATGCACATGATATTGTACCTCATTTACCCCCATACTATCACTACTTTCCACAAAAGACATACCACCATTTCCCCCGAGAGGTATGTGTTTAGCTTGCTTCCCTTTTACCTTTGCTAGCAACTTGATCTAGTATTGTGTTGATGTTTTCTTAAGATACATGATGAAAATTAGCTATGATTTAGTTGTGTCAACGATTTTATGGCACATCCCAATTATGTCATTCTTCTAGGTATGGATTCATAATGTTGGCCTAGGAAGCCTCATCATATATTCGATTGCGGAAATTTGTGATGATTCTGGAGAAGACCCGACTTGTAGCAGGTCCCTCTCACACTCATACAAACTTTTTCTGTGGTTTATTAATTCTATCATACTGATGCCCCTCTTAACATCATGTTTTCTGCTTTCTAGGTCTGTGAGTGGAAACAGCGTGCATGACCATATACACTATCTTGGCATCAGCATGCATGCCGAGTCATGGGAACATTGCAGAATCGTTACCGACAATAGAACCCTGCCACAGCAGTATAAGATGGATCCTGATGGCAATATAATCTTGTCGAAGCAGCCTGGCTTATCAGTGAATGAACTACACAGTGCACAATGAAAAACTCAAGATGGCATGAATAATTTTCTTGTATGATCCTACTGTGATGAACTCGAAGGGGATATATTAGGATGAACAACCTTGGTGATTGTTCTGTTGGGCCACGTAAAAAAAAATACTGGCAGCAATCTTCATTCTATAGTGTACTTGTTAGTTCTCATAGGATGTATGTACATATGTCTATGATGTTAGTTCTCAACTTTCCAAACCTTAGCGTCTGCTATCTGTATATGATGTTGCAGCAAAATCTAACTTTTGTTACACGAAATATTTTTTCTTGTCTCACAGAGACAGATTGTCTGTGATATGCTTTCATGATGCCTTGAGGCTTGTTCGAATGCACATGCATTCATCTGAATCTACGGGTGTTGAAGTGGATTGAGGTGGAAATTAAACTAAGTTCTACTCTCAATCCACTCCAACACATATGGATTGAGATATATACATGTGCATCCAAACAAGGCCTTCTGTGGTCAATCGCACAAAATAGCAGGATTTTTTGCTTTGAGGGGTGCATTGATTACAGATCATCCTACTATAAGTCTGAATCTAGTCAATTTGTTTGGTTTGATATCACTAAACTCTCATAGGAATATGTTTTGTGCTCTCACAAATAAAAAGTTTGTGGGTACCTCCATGAGAAACTGGTTTTAACTAGTTTTCTAGCCACCCATGTGTATACGCGTCTACCTTTCTAGATTAAAAATATCGCCTAGGGAGTTCCTCCCATCAAAAATCAAAATTCAAATTCATGGGATGACCCTATAATAATCAAAATTCAAATTCATGGGATGAGCCTATAATACGGTACTCCATTCTGAAGGTTTGTGAGTGACATCCATGAGGAACAACTAAATAAACGACACACAATACCGACACATTTCTGCGGAAGGAAGGAAATAAAATTTCTTTTAGAACTACGCAACTTCATATGTAAATTTATTAGGGATGAAAAATGCAACGGATATTTTCTGCCCACTCCTCCACGGCCAAATCTAGATATGCAATATCCCTCCTTCAGTATTAGAAATTGTATATTCAAAGTCATACCAGACCTGAATCCGAATTCTCAGTCAGAAAATCTGTGATAATAATCCCATAGTCACGGTGGCTGAATATTCATGTGGCAGGAGAATGGCAAATCAGCTTTAGGAGAAGTTTTAGACTTTTATGAGCAATGGAGATATGTCTCTCTGGGAGGATCTTCTTGATCTCTTGGACAAAATCACGCTCTCTGATCAAGAGGTCAGAGTTTCTTGGGGGCTAGATCTCTGGAAATCTTCCGGTCCGAACTATTCTGACCAGAAAAGCACGCCGATGATTTCCCACATCGATCCGCAGCTAGTCCCGTCTGTTGGCAAGTAAGGCAGAAACAGGCCAGGGACAAAGGTGGCCCACGAAGCGTACTCTACGAAGCGCAGCGATGTACTAAAATGTCCTACGATGTATTTTTACGATGTTCGTGTAATATACATACGATGTTCTCATAGTATACATGTGGTGTTCTATGATGTATTTAATAATGTTTATATAATATATATATATATATATATATATATATATATATATATATATATATATATATATATATATATATATATATATATATATATACTGTTCTACAGCTGACCATAGAATAACTTATTCTGTGGCCACTTTGAGTTACGATAATTACTATGCTAATTACCAGATTATAGTAACTTCTTACTAAGTGATTTTACTATAACATTATGGTAAATATCACCGTGAGTTATAATAACACGAGTATCGTAAATGCATATTCATATTATCGTAAATTGATACAAACATTATGGTAAATCAAGGTGGCTATAGGATAAGTTATTTTATAGCCAGCTGCAGAATAGCCTTACCCTATATATATATATATGCGATGTTTATGTTATGTATATTATAATACCAAATTAATGAACCTAAAACTAGAATATTGTTCTTCTAAAAAAAGAACATTTTTCTTACGAAGACGGAACATCGTTCTCTGAGTCTACAACATCATCTTTGCTCAATAAAAAAAATGTTCTATCTTTATGAAATTAATGTTCGTTAATGAACTTTATCTAAATATATCCACGTCAGGTCTTATTTTGAAGCATTTATTATAGAAAACACAATGGTGCAATTGGAATTTAATTTGGATACTCGATTTATTAGTTATGACTTTTTTAGTTTGTACCACAGGCAAATCAATGAAATGGAAAAAAATAATCTGTACTTGCTCGGTCCTCCACTTCCTGCACGGCTCGCGTTGCAGCCTTGGCCGGCACGGGGTTCGGCAGGAATAATTCGGCGGGAAAGCGGCCGGACGGATGTGATGTTACCGTCCGATTGGTCGGACTCTAGCACGCCCCCTAGATCTCTCTACCGCTTTCGGTTAGAAAGGAGCTGGACATATTTGAAAATGCAAAATGCCCTTAAAATAATAATAAAAATTGTTTGGCAAATGCAACATCATAAGCTGCCTGAGGTTTCTGTCCTACAGCACAGGGGCTGGAAAGGCAATGTCAAATGCCTTCTTTTGTGACAAGCTGGAAACAATTGACCATATGTTTTTTTTTCTTGCCACCTTGAACGATACATATGGGGGTGTATCAGTGTATGTATGATATTCTCATGGGGACTGGGACTTTTTCCCAATCTCAAGGGTGGACTTTTGAGGGAGCTGGTTGTATGACAAATGTAATGTCCCAAACCATTCGTGTAGAGTAAATTGCACGGCCGGTTCTTAAAGTATTGGACTGATTTCGTCTGGGTCCCTAAACTATGAAATTGCACTCTTGGCTTCCCAATCTACTTAATTTGGTCCATCTAGGTCCTAAACAGCCCAAGCGGTGTCAAGCAGTCGACGTGTAGCACGTGAGGCACATGTGACCCTCGGCAGCTGCTGGCTTTTTAGCCAAAAAGCCCCCGCACGATTTCACCTTCTCCACCTCACTCCTTTCCATAACTCTCAGACCTCGACGAAGGGGAGAAGGGGCAGAGGGTGGCGACGCCGGTGACTGGAGCTGTTCGCGGAGGCGGCGTGGGCGGAGAGCGAGGACGGCTCGACGGCCGCGCCTAGAGGGCCCTCTAGGCACGGGCGTTGGGGGAGATGGCCGCCAGATTGCGTCAGAAAGGAGAGCCGGCGGCTGAATACGGTGAGTTGAAGAAACCCTGTCTTGATCTGGACCCTCTATTAAGTTTTTGCTATGGATTTGTGAACATTACGGTAGATTTAGGCCATTTTCATTTGAAAGTAGTTGATTTGTAGGCATGAATGGCGGTGTTTTAGGGTTCTTGATACGGATGGGAAAATTTTTGAACTGAATGTTGAAAATTGGTTGAAATATAGGTCCAGGGTCTAACCAGTTCAGTCTAGAGGTGCATCATGGTGGTTTTTTTGTTGGTGTTCGGGAGAGCCGTGCTTACCTCGATGGAAAAATTGACTGGTTTGATCAGTGTGATGCTGATACTTGGTCACCCCTATGGATAAAAGGACTTTGTGGAAGAGTTAGGTTATGATAAGGAATCACGTACACTGAAGGTGCATTGGTTATTGCCAGGAAAGATAATAACAGATGGTTTGAAACTTATAAAGACTGATAGTGACACAATGGTCATGATGTCTGTGATTGATAGGGTGAGGAACCTGGTCATTTATCTTGATCATCATGATATGATTTGTTCTGGTATCAATTGGGATGGCATTGTAGCAAATCCTGTCTGTAGTTTGCCCAAAGTCTTTAGTCCTGTTAAGGTTATGACAGCTGAAAGGAAGGAAGGGGAGAAATTGTCAGTGTTTTACACAAACCTGAGGAAGGCCACTGAGTGGAACCAAGATCCAGTATATGATGGCATTGAGGCAGATGACAGTAATTCAGATGACTCAGACTTTAATGATAGTGATTATGAGATTAGATTTTCTGATGATGACCTGTTTGCTGACAATGTCGATGCTGGTGTGTTTAATGAAGGGGCAACTAAGGGTTGTAAAATGTTCAAATGGAAGAAGGCTGCGGGTAGCAAACTCAAGAGGAAGCAATCTATGACTATGTCAGTTGCAGATGAGGATGAATCAACAGAAGAGGAAGAGATTGACTTGGCAGATTCTAATGAAGGTAGCAATAGGAACAGGTTCAGGGAATTTCGGCAGTAAGATTTGTTGAATCCATCACTCAGGGTAGGGCAAGTATTTGGTACAGTTGAGCTTGTGAGGAAGGCCATCACAGAGTACAACCTTAGGAATAGGGTAGAGATCAAAATGCCTAGAAATGATAGGAAGAGAGTCAAGGTTCATTGTGTTGAAGGGTGTCCATAGAACTTCTATGCATCCATTGATAGTAGGACAAATTGTTTTCTAGTGAAGACATGCAATGGCCATCACAACTGCTAGAAAAAGTGGATGATCAAGACTTGTACCTCCAAATGGCTTGCAGAGAAGTACTTGGAAACATTTAGGGCAGACAATAAGATGACCCTACCTAACTTTGCAAGAACTATTCAAAAGGAATGGAACCTTACTCCATCTAGAACCAAGCTATGTAGAGCAAGAAAATTTGCATTGCAGACTATATATGGTGATGAGTTGAAGCAGATCTCTCAGTTGTGGGATTATGGGCAAGAGTTGAGAAGGTCCAATCCTAGTAGCAGCTTCTACCTTAATCTAATAGAAGGGGCATTTAGTAGTTGTTACTTTATCACTTGATGCTTGCAAAAGAGGTTTCTTAAGTGGATGCAGACCAATCATCTTTTTGGATGGATGCCACCTGAAGACAAAGTTTGGAGGGCAGTTGCTTACTGCTGTAGGGATGAATCCAAATGACTGCATCTTTCCAATTGCTTTTGCAGTGGTGGAAGTTGAATCTCTCTTGTCCTAGAAATGGTTTCTGCAAAGCCTGAAAGATGACCTCCGCATTGACAACACATTCACATGGACTATCATGACAGACAAGCAAAAGGTATAATAACATTTGCACAAAGTTTTCTGCATAATCATTGACTAATAACATTTGCATGTTTGTTCACTAACACATTACCACTGTATTTTTGTAGGGTCTTATCCCAGCTGTGGCACAAGTGTTCCCCGAGGCTGAGCACATATTTTGTGTGAGGCATCTGTACCAAAATTTCCAAGTCCATTTCAAAGGTGACAACCTCAAAAACCAGCTGTGGACATGTCCTAGGTCCACCTATGTGAGGCATTGGGAGAAGAACATGCAGAAAATGAAGGAAATAGATGCAGCTGCCCACCAATGGTTGGAGCAAATGGCACCAAATACTTGGGTCAGAGCCTTTTTCAGCACTTTCCCAAAATGTGATGTGTTGCTCAATAACAACTGTGAGGTCTTTAACAAGTACATCTTAGAGGCTAGGGAGCTACCCATCCTAAATATGTTGGAGAGGATAAAAAACCAAATAATGACTAGACACTACAACAAACAAAAGAAAGCAGAAAACTTTGTTGGAACTGTTTGCCCAAAGATAAGGAAAAAATTGCCAAGAATGCTGAATTTGCTAATATTTGCTATGGCATGCCTGCTGGCCAGGGAATATTTCAAGTGCAGTCCAAGGAAAACACATACATTGTTGATATTGTCAACAAGCAATGTGAGTGTAGGAGGTGGGATCTCACAGGTATTCCATGTTCCCATGCCATTTCCTACTTGAGACATGAGAGGATACCTCCAAAGATAGTGATCCCTGCCTGTTACTCTGTTGAAGCTTTTGCAACTGCATATGCCAACAACATTTGGCCATGTAAGGACATGGCTGACTAGGAGAAGACTGCTGGACCTCCAATTGCTCCACTAGTTTATGAGAAAAGGATTGGGAGACCACCAAAGGCAAGGAAGAAACAAGCATATGAGGTTCAAGGCATAAATGGACCTAAGCTAACAAAGCATGGGTCCAAAATGCACTGTAGTTGGTGCAAATCACCAGATCATAATGTGAGGACATGTGAATTGAAGAAGGTAGGCATCAGTCCAAGTGGCATTGAAGAAATACCTCCAATAGTTATTGATGACCATGGTGTATGTACTATGTTATGTTTTATTATACTAGACAGTCATCCCTTCAGTTGTCAACATTACTGTTCTTGTAGGATGACATAGAGGCCGAGGCAGCACCACCTTTTGATTACCCAATGCAAGAATAGATGACACAGGAAACAATGTTTTCACAGATGCTTTCTCAGGTTTGTGTGATTTCAATTTTACTCTACTGTTTGCATGACCAATTTTACTCTACTAATCTCAATCTGCATTTTTCTTGCCGCCTGTAGCCCACTCAACGCAGCAGCCTAAATCAGCAGTAGGGACCCTTGCCAGACTCTACCTTCATTCAGTCCAACCAGCCAACTGCAAGACCAGTAGTTATCACTGTTGCAACTAAAGCAGGCGGGGCAAGAGTGAACAAGAAGAAAATAACTATTGCCGACAAGAGCAAAGAAGCTGGACAAGCTGGAGGGAAGAAGGGCAAGAAGACTGAAGGAGTTCAAGGGAAGAAGACCACCGCTGAAAATGCTGCATGAAACTGTGGACGTGCCAACCTGACTTTTGTGACTGGAATAGGAAAACAATATAGTTGCCTTTTATTGATAGCAACATGGAATAGGGTAGCAGTATAGTTGCTTTTGTGGATAGCAACATCTTTTGTAATGCATAAACACTAGTATGCATGCCAAAAGTCTAGGCATCTTGTATAGGGATGCCTACACTGAACTGCAGATGTCCAAGTGTAGATGGCTGTATGCATGTGATGCAATGCCATTGTCTTAGGCTACAAACTTCATGACTGGATGTACAACTTCATGATCGGATGTACAACTTTGGTTGCTAAGCATCACAATGCAGTTTGCATAAGTGAAATATGTTCTTTTGAAATTACAGTCACAAATACCACAAATTGCAGTCAGATAACATACATGATCAATACCATAAAGCATTACCAGTTCTTACATGGAAATATTACAAGTTCACACATAAACAAAAGCATTCCTACTCCCCAAACCTACTTCACATTCACCATTCACTTCTTCATCTGAACAAACACCAGCAGCAGTTGCACAACTACAATTACCAAGCACATACAGAGAATGCATTTCAAGAGCCCTGCAATATCATATCCTATATTGATCAAAGTTCTAAGCTCTACTTCAACAGCTGTGGCATGCTCTACTTCAACAGTTGTGGCATCTCCATTTCCCAGGTTGACATTCTTCTCCAAAAGGCTCTCAGTAACTTTATCAGATTGCATCCCAGCTGCCTTTTCTTTTGCTGCTTCTATCTCCAAGTGGTTGATGTATCCTGCCTCCCAAAGGAAAAATAGGCAACCAGTTCCATCCTTCTGCAGATTCATCAAACAGACAAAGCACACATACTGAAAACTTGGACTCTAATACTCGGATTTGGAATGAACTCAAACGGGCAAACCTAACTTACATTGTGATCTAGGCAGGTGTAGAAGATCTGATCCAAGGACCATGGCTGCTTCGAACGACACTTTACTACCTTATGACGATGGCACTTCGGGTACGTAATCAGTCGCGACTCATCACCGCGCCTCCTGGTCGCCGCCACCGAGCTCGATTCGGCGGCCATCTCCCCCACCGCCCGTGCCTAGAGGGCCCTCAAGGGGCGGCTGTCAGGTCGTACTCGCTCTCTGCCAGCGCCGCCTCCGTGAACGGCACCAGTCGCCGGCATCGCCACGCTCCGCCCCTTTTCCCCCTTTCGTCGAGGTCCGAGAGAAAGGAAAGGAGTGAGTGGGAGAAGATGAGATCGTCTGGGGGCCTTCTTGCTAAAAAGCCAGCAGCTGCCGAGGATCACGTGGGCTGCTTGACACCGCCTGGGCTGTTTAGGACCTAGATGGACCGAATTAAGTAGATTTGGGAGCCAAGAGTGCGATTTCATAGTTTAGGGACCCAGACGAAATCAGTCCAATACTTTAAGGACTGGCCGTGCAATTTACTCATTTGGGTATATTTGTATTTGCAGGATTGACTTGGGCTCTTTGGAATTCTCGTAACAAAAGGGCGATTGAGAAGATGCCTAAATCTCCTTCTGAAGTGTTGTTCTCCAGTATATCTTTTCTGCAGAAGTGGATGGTGCTGTTGAAAGGGGATCAAGGAAAGATGCAAAGCTGTCATCAACAGCATGCTGTGTTAGGCGAAGCAGTTCGAACCTAGCAATATCCTGTTATCTAACATTGGCGAGATTTGGTCTGCTTGTAATAGTATAGAATGTTATCTGTCAAACTCTAGCTGCACACTGGTTTCCCAGTTTCCAGACTCATGGCTTTCAATATATATAAGCAGAGGTATTCTCCTTAAAAAAAAATCATAGTCGGACGGTTCACGGTTATGTAGCTCACTAATCACCTGCTCGGCTGTGCTGCCTGCAGCTGCGGCTCACGATTTACTGTAGGAGCAGCCAAAATTGCTATCCGATCTGCTTTCATCCCTATTCATTGACCAAAACTATAATTTCGTATACATATTCGACACATATCCATGCCTGAATTTGAGTCTAAGAAATATATTTGGTATTTATATTTGTATATATCTAGTGGTATCCAGCTTTCATCCCTAGACATTTTATGCTTATTTGCAATGTGAAATAAACATATATTAAATTTTCTTACATCCTCCATCCGTCCTATAAAGAGTGTCATTCTCACTTCTCGAGAAATAAAAAAAATATCAACTTTGAACAAATATATATAAGAAACTATTAATATTTATTATGCATAATTAGTATCATTAGATGAATCATTAAATATATTTTCATAATAAATTTATTTGGAGATACAAATGATGCTAATGTTTTCTACAAACCTAGTCAAACTTAGAAAAGTTTAACCAACACCAATCCATAGCGGCGAGTATCCTCTAGTAAAGATCATTGGAAGTGGATGGATATATCACCAGTTCTGATGCAATGAATCTAATGAATGAAAGTTTGGTGCACCAAAAAAAAAAAAAAAAAAGAGAGGAAAAACCAGTTTTCAAAACAGCATGCATAAGATATGGGCACGACAGTTTTCTGGTACAGAGAGCATAAATGATGTGTTCTGACAACTCAACACAAAAATGTCACAAGACAGATGTATCAAACACAGGTGGACTGCTGTAACCCCAGTCACAAACCATTCAAGAAAAGAACATCACATTCCTCGACAATGGTGTGACTGCTGACACCCATCATGCAACAGCAACAGAAGATACCCACTGGGTGAGATCCTGTGCTCCCCAGTGCAGATTTTTGCCTTACCTCAACATTTTGAACCGAATGTTGTTATACACCGTGATGACAAAGGTTCATAAGCATGAAGATCACATTCATGAGGAATAGACGCCAGGACTGAGAGTTTTGATGGTGGTTGTGGTGGCAATGATATTTGTATGGAGAAGTTACGAAGCAGTGGCAATAGCCGGTGAAGGGAAAAGGGGAAAGCTCTATTCACAAAGACCAAGGGACCTAGATGTCCTGTTTGGTGCTAGCAAGGAACTCACCATTTTTTTCTGAATGATGAGTGGATGAACCTTCTGCTTCCACGTTCTGCTCATACGTTCAATGCTGCTTTGAGAGTTTGGTTACTTTCTCCCTCTTGATTTTTCCCCAAATGTTTTGGCCTCTGCTATAGCACGCTGGCTTTCAGCAGTCCTAGGAGATCCCCTCTTCCTTCCTGCGTGAGCAGGACTACCCAATTGTGAACCTGACATATCCACATCATCCAAGCCAGACCGGCGACCAGAACCACTACCAGAGTTTGTCCTGCTAACCTCAGCTTCGTATTTTGATGCTGCGGTGGCTTCCCTTCTCAAATCTGGAGAATGGTGATTCGGTGAGCGGAGACGGCGTTGGTCATTTCTCCCTCCACCTCGGCTAACCCTCGGAGTAGATGAATTACTCCGATTATGTTGAACAGGCGCATTTGGATCATATGTCTGAGAAGCTAGGTATGACAGAGCAGTGACCACGTCACCTATAAAGGGGCGAGTAGAAGCCTGCTCTTGCAAACACATTGCAGCAACAGCTAAAGCTTGATACAGTCCCCTCATGGGGAAGCAGCCCTGAAGTAATGGATCAGCCATTTTAGGAAATTTTCTGCGGTCCTTGAATAGAGGACGAGCCTGCAAAAATAATCGACCATAAACCAGGTATCCAAACTTATAATTCAGAACATATATCCATAGTAATGTTTATATAAGACTAAGCAGCCTAAGAATATGCACAAGACATTTTTTGGCATAACTAATTCCAGGCATGATATTGCACCAACTGAATACTTTTATGGAGGAACTACTGATGCCACAAGCAGTCTATACCGTTTCAAAAATAATTTCATCAAGTATAGCAATGGTATCATGCTTTAGAATTCGGAGATAGTGTTCAAGGAATGAAAAAAGAAAAGGAAATGGTTTACGAAGTAGCACAAGATAGAAGTCCAGCACCATAAATACTGATCACATGAAAAGGGGTTAAAAGAAATAGAACAATCAAACAATAGTGAAAGGGAAAACCATAGCAGAGTAGCTCAAAGCAACTGATTTGTTTGACTGCAACAATCTATGTGGCTTCCTAAAAACTCCTTGGTTGGGCATTTGTTCTGCTGACTAAACAGGCTGCACTGACCTATTCTGTTTCTGTTTCTTGGAACTGTCTTATTGTTCAAGATCAGGAAAACAGTTTAATCCTATAGTAATTCTTTTGACAAAATCTTGCTGTATTTTTTATTTGATGCACTATTATATAATTGCATTCACTTTATCTCAAGAAATGCAATGGCTGTGTGACCTTTTCATTGGTAAACTGAAGGCAAATGATTAATTTTATGAAGAAAATTAAGTAGACAAAACAAACATACCCATGCAACTAGGTTTTGCTCTCCGTGGGGTCTTGTGTTGTCAATTGCTTTGCGGCCAGTAATCAGTTCAAGGAACACAACACCAAAACTATATACATCAGATTTAACTGTAAGCTGCCCTGTCATTGCATACTCTGGAGCACAGTAGCCATAAGTTCCCATAACACGTGTTGAAACATGAGTCTTGTCACCAACAGGGCCAAGTTTGGCAAGGCCAAAGTCTGATAGCTTCGGATGAAACCCTTCACCAAGTAGAATGTTTGAGGATTTGAAATCCCTGTAAATAACAGGAGGACTTGCCTTATCATGCAAGTACTCTAAGCCCTTGGCGGCACCAGCAGCAATCTTCATACGTGTATTCCAGTCCAGAGGTTCCTTTTCAGGTGGAATATCTAACATAAAAGTTAATTATATAATTAAATTTTATTCAGGAAAATTTTAACATATGAGAATTGTTAGACTATATAGATTGGGCTGTTAGTCTATCCTCTATAGGCCTAGTCGCCCAGGCCTATTGGCCTCACGGGTGTGATCTGTTGCCAGCCTTGCAGGCCCTGCACGATCTACCCTGATGGATTACAAGTTGTATTAGGCAAAGATTACCATAGATTGGTTCTGTTTCCATAGGCCATCCTACGGCATCCTTGCCTATATATTTTGTAGCCTTGCTCCTCAATTAATCAATCTACGATTTCCCCTTGACATATTCTCTCACAAGAATAAATGTGTGAACATCTTTTTCAAGAAAAAATTAAGAGTTCCCACAAGTCATAATTAAAGGGAAATGAAAAAAAATGTTTTTCATTCCTGGATGGTGATCTAAAGAAACTCTAAAACTGCAAAATTCCAAGTACTGAATGTTCAATAAGAAATAACATGGATACATGTCCATTCTCCTCCACAAAACAAAGCATCTCAAATGTAGAATGATGGATATTAGAACTGCCACTAAGTGATGCGATTATACCTAGGTCCATTTGGATTTCTCAAAGATCTGTTGATTGATGCTATTTAACAGAACTCTTTCAAGATAAGTGTCTTAGTAATAAATGTTGATAATTATAGCAAACTAACCATGCAAATGATCCTCAAGTGATCCCAATGGCATAAACTCATATACAAGAAGACGTTGGTCCCCATCAGCACAGTATCCAATTAGGTTGACTAGGTTGTCATGGTGCAACAGACTAAGCATTAGAACCTCAACCAGAAACTCCCTGTTTCCTTGAAGGCCATTGCGATCAAGTTGCTTCACTGCAACAACCTGCATGGTGTAGTTTGGTTAAGAGTTACACTGAAGAAAAGGTATTCTCACCTATGTGTCAACCATATCGTAAAATACGAGAGGATCAATATAAGAAAAATGGAATTCAGAAGCATCAAAGCATTTTGAATCACAAACCTGCCCATTCTCCAACCGTCCTTTATAAACACGACCAAAACCACCCTCGCCCAATAAGCAATCTTGTCTGAAGTTCTTAGTGGCAGCTGCAAGTTCACGAAAAGTGAAAGTGTGTGCTGCAATATGTTGATTGTTCCCATCCCTCAGGATGACTGCATCCTTCTTAGAGTCTGGTCCACCCTGTGCTTTTGATTTATCTAAAGCACGGTTAAAGGGTTCAACATAAACAAGTTGAACTACAACCAAATATGCAAGTTAAAGAAGTAAATGAAAACTAAAAGAAATTTAGTGCAACAAGACAGGTCATACATCAAGTATTTCAGAATAAGTTGATGCTAGAGCACTTAACACTTATCTTTACTAGCAAACATGCTCATGCCTTGCTACGAGTAACGATCTTACGGTCAATATTTAGAAAATAGAATATATCATTGGATGATAATTTAGGACGCAGTATGCAAACCCAACCCAAGTTTATGGGGCCGATGACCCAGCCTTTGGTGAACCACATCTTTATTTGACTAATCCGACACATACATAAATTACATGTTTTAAAGGAAAAAAAGGTGAAAAAAGACAATAAAATGAATAAAAAAGTCAACTTGGGCCACATCTTCCTGGTCCAGCACACTTTAACCTCAACCAGCACTCCCAGCCCTAATAACGTAAGTAAGAGACTCATGTGCTCAAGCACGCAGCGCAGCTTACTTTGATCCTTTCCCCTCGCAGATCTCTTCTTTCGTAAAAAATGCCATAGCAGCATCTTTTGTAAAAAACGCCCTAATAACATGGTGTGTTAGGCTGGAACACGCCGGCCGCGTCTGCATGCATGTGTGCGTAAGAGGTTTGCTGTTGGGTACATGGACTGTTCGACCAGTAAGCATTGATAGAATATGGTTTGTGTTTTGATTCTTCTGGATAGAATCATAGAAGGCATACAAAGGATAGTTTCTGAGCTTTGCACGGAAACAACTTTAGTTCCAAGCTGTCATGGATGATAACGGAAAGACAGGGAACAACATGGCTGTTGATGTGCACAGTTCAAGAAGGCTTCTAGAAGCAACGGAAGAAGAAACCTTATTGCTTTTGATATTATTAGGTAGAGATATCTTAGTACCTTACAGTAATTTTTTTTCTCAATCGCTGCAGGAGAGCTGCGTGTCATTTCATTAAGATGGAAGAAAGAACACAGTACTCCCTCTGATTCCAAATGTAAGTCATTTAGGAAAGTGATACAGTCTCCAATGTGACACTTTGATTTGCGTTTTTGTGGTAATATATCATTCGACATAGTGGAAGTTATATGTTATCTAGTAAAATCAAGTGGGCCATCTGCTGTTCAGATGCCCTATAGCGATGGTGACCTGGTGCTGGGTGAGAAACAGCTTGGGCTGGCCGAAAATACCATCATCCATTGATAAATTCCAGGTGCTGTGCCTGAACAGAGGTGGTGGGGATAGGAACAAGTCCTTGTGGGTGATAGTATCTGGTGTGGGTTGGGTGTTGTGGAAAACAAGAAATGATCTAGTTTTCTCCAAAAAAAATCCTTAAATCTCCTAAACAAGTGGCTTACAAATCTCTTGGCTTTCTAAACCAGTGGCAGACACTGGCGAAGAAGGAAGACAGGGACAACATGGAGGAATTCCTGTTGAAGATGAAGGAAGGACTTTCAAGATGGTGAAATGTGCCTAGACAGGAATATGGTGTCAAACAGATATGATGAGGGTCTGGTGGCCAAAAGACATGAAGAAAAGGGAGGACAAAGGCAAGGCAGCTGTGGCTTAGCTGTTTCTTGTTCTCGTTTTGCTGTTCAGGATTGCTCTCTTGCTGTGGTTTCCTCCTTTTCTGTTTGCTTTTCGTTGTAGCGACCTACCTGTTTCTGTTAGTGTTTCTCTGGTTGGGTAGGGCTTGGTGTTGGCTTTTAGGTGGAGGTGGTCTTAAGTGGAGGTGAGTTTTAACTGGGCTTTGCACGTTCTTGTAAGCTGGTATCCCCAGCAAAACTTCTGTGATGCTTTCAATATAAGCAGGGCTAAATGCCTTTGGTCTAAAAAAATCTAATAAAATCAATCATATGTTGTCTATCTATGTAATGCGCATGTATTGATGGGCCAAGTTAAAGAAATTTGACCACCTAAAATCCTAAAACAACTGACATTTGAAACTGGAAGGATTAAGTGATAAATAAAGAGAAACTTAAATCTACTGGTGAAATACATAGCAAACAAAGAAAATAAGTAAAACTGAAACTACTGATGCTAATCAATATCACATGATCATAGAGTGCAGGGACAAATCTAGGGGCTGGGGCAGACAGATATGTGCTCAATAATCATCATCAAACAAATTAGAGAAAATTTTCCAAAACTTCCACATTCCATAGAACCACACTACTTTGGGAGCTTCTCATAAACCTATGCCTCCTACAGTATCCTCAGCACCTGGGCCCACTCGTCATTGTCACATTTTACCACTACTTTGTTTTACTCTGTTTTGCACTATGTGACGCTACGAGTTGGCTCAGGTGGTCAGGATAATGCTGGAGGGAAAAAGTGATAGTTTGTGGAAGGGGGCCGAAATTAGTGGCAGTTTAGTCATGAGTCTGACTTTCTTTTCTTTTTCTGTGAACACACAGGAGAGTTGTGTAGCGTTGCATTTAATAGGAGAAGATAAACATACAACATACCAACCCACCCCATTGTTCACAGAGTACGTTCGTGCGTGTTTTATAAAACAAGAAACGAGCTGACTTAAAATAAATCTGGCTTCAGTCTTCGCAGTTAAGACAAGGATATGGAGTTAGGGATGCAAGGTCCACTTGTTGGGGTCACTGGGTTGACCAAAGCTTTCTAAAATGAACTAATACGGCATGCCATGTAATAACTAATTTAGATGGGGAGAGATGAACTAAAATGGCCCATTTGCGTCATCTATGTGGTGGTTTAATGAAATTTACTCAACAGATATTTGTCACTTCTTATCTGTAAAAGAACATATCTTTGACGAGCTTAAGCTCTACTACTCTGGTACTTCCAAGGCAATGGCCATGGTCCTTTTTTAGTTTAAGGGGTAATTATCCCAGCCACTTTATGAACAAAGGATGCACAAAACTCACTACTTCATGAACAAAGGGTGCATAGTACTCTAATGGTTGTCCTCTCGGGCGTGTTTGGGACTACTCCACAAACTCTACTTCATTAACTCCACCGTGGAGCAGCTGCACAAAAAAAAACCTGGAGTTTGTGGAGCACCCATTTAGGTGCTCTCACAACTCACATTTTTTCCTCGAACAGAGTGCCTGGAGCTGAACCTGTTTGGCTAAAAAAGGTGGAGCGGAGCTTAAAAAAAAACGTGGAGTGGAGCTGTCCCAGACGCCCCCTAAAACTCCTGGAACAAGTTAAACTAACATCACTTCATCATATAGCCCAACATAAATACTAATTCCACAAATGATAAATGCCATTTGCTAAACGAAATATGAGAGATTAACTTCAGCTCTATCATATCTGAATCCAATAACATAAGTAGTTTAAGGACTGCCACAACAGTGAGTTTGCTCATTCGCTAATACTATCCACCCAAATCCCGGTTTAGCGCGCACCAGCCGGTCACGTCAGAAGAAATTACGGACCATTTCCCACCACAAACGCATCCAAGATCCAGCTTTTTCCCAGGAACCGCACCTGATTCGACCCGGGTGACGCGATGACTCGACGAACCGTCCTTCCGCGCACCGCCCTTCTTGGTCGCCCCCTCACCAGCCGACCCGAAGCACGGCAGGCAGCCCATCCAAGAGCCGCCCTTGCGAGAGGGGAAAAGAGCCAAGAAGCGAGCAGCGGAGGCCGACCCACCAGACGGAACGGGGATTCCTCCCCGATCTGGGGGCGGTGCCCCTCCCAAAATCCGATCTTTGAAAGACGCGGAGGAATTTGGATGGGATTTGGGAGCGGCGGGTCGGCGGGGAGCGGGAGCGGGCGCGGAGGCAAGGACAGCGAAGGCGTCCAAGGTAAGTCAGCTCCAGACAGAGCAAGGGGAGAGATCCTTTGCGGAATTCAGTCCACGTACTCCCGTGCGAAACTTTTTAAATAAAATATACTATTTTAGCATAAAATTTTAGAGATAACTTTCCATGTTTAAATAGACTAGGATTAGTTGTTAAGTTTAAAAATTAGCTAACTAATTGTTACTCCATACTTGTTTGATCCTGAACTAATTGTTGGGTTCTATAGATTAAAACTAGTTGTTAACCCTGATAGTTGGGTTCTATGGACTAGTAAACTAACAACTACTTGAGGCTTTGGCTAAATTTTAGCCCACTTATCCTTTTTGGATCCTTAAAGACTAAAATTTAGCTAACTAGTTGTTAGTTCAAGGGATTCAAACAGAACATTATGAATAGACTAAATTCTCTAAGAACGTCTTCAACAATATGAACTAGGATTAGCTCTAAGCTGATTAGGTTTAAAAAAACTCTAATAAGTGAAGAAAGACTGCCACGAGTAGCCTTGAATATCTGTTGTGAGAGAGATATCGTGGACATTGCACTGATAAATTATAAATAATTAAAAAATAATTCAGCTAGCTCTAAAACTAGACCATTAAAGATACCTTAACAACAAAATTCTTTGACAAACTATCTCTTATTGTTGGATCTCAAATTAACTTTACTCCCTGACTATTAGTATCTACATGTAATATATTGAGGGACTCTATATGTAATATTGAAGGTCGACACTTTTTCTTTGGTTGGTGCATCACTTTCTCTATTACATTATAAACTATTGTGGTTGTCCTATCTCAAATATCATTATTAGTTTAGTAATATAGACATAAAAGAGTTCTAGATAATTTTATTAAGTGTATTGCGTGGAGAGTCCTATGTCTTAACGTATTGCTTGGTCTAAGGAGCCGAGAGAAGCATACAACGCATACGCACCTTGCTACACGCTGCACACTGTTCTGTATGTTTCCACCGAGACGCATAAATCAACGCCAAGCTCCTTGTTGCTACATATGTGCCAGATAACTCGGCGTGATTCATTAGGTGCACACTGGTAGACGTGTGCTGAGACGTTCCTACAACAGAAGGCCAACATCCTTGCTCGTCATCAACGGCGCCAAGAATGGATTTGGCACCCGCGATGATAATGCTAAACACAACATTGATCATGTCTCATGGTGAGCACACCAATATACAGTATTGGATTTGGCACTGACGACATGCAGGGCCCTCATGCTTCTCTTGTCCCTCTCGAATCCTCTCCTTAACGGCCTTTCCTTTCCATCATTTCCTAAGTCATTTTTCGTCATGGATCAACACACTTCTATGACCAATAGCTCGGGTTCATCACAACGTAACAAATATGATGCTCAGTTTTTTACAAACAGATTTTCATCACGAATTTGTCACAAAATGTTCTTTATGATGAATACCGCTTCTACATTTGATGAAAGTTATTTGTCATGTATGTTCACATCCCTATTAGTGAACAAAGAGCTGTAACATCCCAGATGTTAAGGATCAATTAAAATTTTGATCATGAGCATCATCAACCATAATCACCAAGTATCAGGTCAATTATGCATTTCAAGTTTCAAATTATAGCCTTCATATGTTGCATTTGTGGTGTTTTATATGATACATGAAATGTTATTAGTAATAGTGATTAGGGTTCTTTGTGGCTTTATATATGTGAAATTGTTTAAACAATTAAAATTTTGTTAAAATAAACTTTGTAGTGCATAGCATGTACTTTAATGTGGGATCACAAGTTGATGATGTTTACAAGTCAAATATGTTTAAAATTGAGCCAAAGATTGGATTCAATGTTGAATTTCATACTTAGCAAAATTTTGCCTAAGTCCCAGAAATGCAGATATTGAGTTCAAATTTTGGTGAATTATTAAATGAATTTTCATAAATAAAACTTATCCAATTTTTGTTCCATTGATTGGTAGTATGTTTGGGCTTTGATATCATGCCATTAGTTGTCATATTTGTTTAGTCTTTAGCTGTTAATTAATTAGCCAGAGTTGCTAATCAAACCAGTTTTGCAAAACCCAAACTGAATTTCAGTTTACAATTTCAAAGTACCTGTTTTCAAAACTCTAAAGTTTCAAAACCATCGATCTTTTTATGTTGATAATTTAACCAAAGCTGTAGATCTCTGTTTAGGGAACAACTTTGCTTAAGGGTGCTCATCACGTTAAGTAGAGAAATCAAGAGCAAGAGAGCGAATAACAGCATGGTTTTAGTCGGTGAACAGTATCAACGGTGAGCTGCTCTTGTGTGTGCCTCACCGTCGGCTGCCGCCCTCGATTCACCGCCTTAGCGCGCACAGAACACGCAGCTGTTTTGGTGGCAAAGCTCAAGCAGGAGCTAGGGACCTCAACGCCTCTCCCGCGCCCGATATAACGTGACGCTGTCGGCTGCCTCCTCCTTTTCCCTTCTGTGCCGCTACGGCCGTGCACTTTTGGCCCGCCGGTGAAATTCACCGCCACCACTACACCTCCACCCAATTGCTCGCACCCGTAGCATCGCCTTGTCTTTGCGCATCGCCTAAGCCTACCCGCATCAGCCTGCTCCACCGGAATCACCCCCGGTGCCGGTAGCCGCCGCGGCCATGTCACCATGGCCGTCGTGACCCCCTCCCTGTGGCTAGCGTGTTCTGATGCATCTCCCTCCTCGTCTTTCGTTTTAGCCTTTCCTTGATGCCGTGGTCATGATTGGCCCTTTTGTTTTGACTATAGAGCACCGGATGCGTCGGAACGCCGCCGCGACACCGGTTCGCGTCACCGCACGCGCCATCACCGTTGGCCATCTAGCTCTGCCTCGTCCCCAGTTCAACCAAGCAGCGCATCGACATTGCGGTGAGCTGCTGATGCTGCCTGAACCCTTAGACTAACTTGTATCGTGCTGTAGCGGCCAGAGCACCACCGCACTGCCGAGCTCTGCTCCACCGTGCCACCATGGCCGCGGTCGAGCTCGAGCCTAACCCTAATTGGTCCAATCGATAGCATAGTGTTTACACCAAAATTTGGGAAGAAGAACGCGAGAACTTGAAGCTTCCAGGATTATGTCATCAAGGAATCGATTAGATGTGAATCGGTATCAGCTGATTTAGATGTGATGTCAGAATCGGTTATTTTATGGATGATGTCAGCAGACGGCGTTAATGGGCTATACTTGAGTGACGCCAGGAAGATGTGTCAGACTCTATAAATAAGGAAAATTGGGGTCCAGGTTATTATTAAGTTAGGAAGTTTTCTTTTATTCCAAGAATTGTAATGAGTTGTATCTGAGTAGGATTCATGTTTAGGTTGCGAGTATAAATATTAAACCCTGGTTATTATAAAAAAACGAACACTCAATCAATATAATCTTTCCAGCTTTCGCCATCGCATTAGGAGTAAGAGTATTATAGATCTCGGTGAGTTCTTCAGCAAACAAGGCTGCATCGACTGATCGACCTCCAGCTTACTTGTGAGTACCGTCATGACTTGTATTCTGCTTGTAAAGCTGCATCAGCTGATTGATCTTTTATGAGCCATAATATAAGTTAATTATCGATCTGTATCGTAGTTTGTAAGGCTACATCAGCTGATTGATCTCTTATGAATCATAATATAGATCAAAGTTATCGATCTTGTGTTAAATAACTTGTTGTTTAATATAATATCACCAGTTATCGAATCTGCTAAGATTAGTAAGATTTTTCTTGCTGTTTTTGGTTGATTTACCAGTTATCGATCTTGCTATAATTAATGTTCTATTAATTATAACAAAATCACCCGATTGAAATAGAGACAGATCGACATCATACCATCTTAATTGGTCATCCTTTGATCTGGTCACACTTCAAATCTTATAATTGATGGCTTAATTCTGCTAGATTGGCTATTTTATCTCTAGTCTAGTCAAACATAGTATGCATCCAAAGACATGTTTCAATCTTCAATAAACTCAGTAGTTAATGAGATTTAATCTAATGATACTATCATAGCTGCATCGATCTGGTCGAACCTCACTGGTAAGATTTTAGATTAGAAATTATCGATTAGTGGTCTTGTTCATGATCAAGATATATACTCTGTTTGTTTGCTATGACTACATCAACTATTTTAGCCGATTTGCATATACTCTCACGCATATAGCATGTTTTCATGAATCTGTCAACATATAGATGGTTTTATAGATTCTTTGGCTTTAGCTTGTTATCATTATCATAGCTGCATCGATACGATCAAACCTCACTGTTAATGATAATAGATTAGATTTAAACTGTTTGTAGATTCATTTATATTAGACAGTTGATTTGTTCGCATGTTATACTATTTTCATCAAACTTATCGGCTCGACGCTTTATATTGGTCATGTTCCATTTAGCCGATGATGCTTTCTGATGTTCCATGAGCATCGATTATTTTGATTTGTATCATTATCATTTAATATTAGCCGATAATCCTTGATTTAAAGATCTTTATTTCATGGATACACTGGATATCGACTATTTAGTCGATAGCCTCATTGAATCGGCTATCTAGTCGTATATTTAGAATTATTTGATGCAACACCGACATGTTCCACCTTAAATTACTGATAAGATTTTCTCTCCTTATCAATTGTAGGTCAAATTGACTGGCACGTCGTTGGGTTTTCAGAATCGGTTGGTTCTGCGTTGAAGGTAAGCAGATCTCTGGTCTCATGCCACTCGGATATTCTAGCTTGCTATGTGTTGATTACATCGCCACATTTTTATGTCAACACACTTTTTGGCATGCCTGGTGGG